ATAGTTTCAGGATCACAGATAACATGCTCCAAGTTTATTCCACACAATGCTTTCTCTATTCAAAGAGGCAAAACATCTCCAAGCTGGAGAAGTGACAAACACAGAAACTGAGTCACATTATACCACGTCCAAGTCCAGAGCCCATCTGACTCTCTTGTTCCCATTTAAAGCACAATGACAACCTGTTTTGTTTTTCTTCTTAGACTGTTTTTTCCCAGGGAGAAAAAAAAACGGCTCAGAGACACATGGCACAGCCTAAGTCTGCTTCTGTCCTGCTCCGAGCTCACCCGCTCCTCCCTGCAGACAGACAATTGTCATTGGTTTTCACGCCTCTGCCTCCCTCTCCCTCTCTCTCTCTCTCTCTCTCTCTCTCTCTCTCTCTCTCTCTTTCTCTCTCTCCATCAGCAGAGAATCCCAGACAGCAACAGGCCCAGCACCAGAGCCCAGTGCTACCGTGTCAGAACAATGGACACAAGAGGGCTGAAAGAAGGGCCTGCGTTCTGCTAACGCGAGGACAGCTCAACAGGACACAGGACACTTTGGATCCCAATGCAACGCCTTCCTCTTCTGCATTTTTCTCTTCCTCATATTTATTCTCACAAATTGCCACTCCACCCGCATGGGAATGAGGATGGACGAAAGGGAAGGAGAGAGTCAAGCGGAACAAAAACTCAGCAGTAACTTTGATTTTTCTCATCTTTTCCCAAACCTCGTTGTGTAGGTACTAACTATGCATCATTTGACAACACATTAGCAAAACACAAATTGCTGAGACAAAGCTATCTGAGAACCCGACCCCTAAAATCCAGGTGGGCAGAGAAGATCTTAGCTCCCTGAGAAATAACGAGGACTTGTGAACTATGCATCTGGTGACTTTACTAGCTTCAAACCAAGTGACAACCAACTTCCAGCAGGATCTCTGAACTCAGTCCACATCTTTTTATTTAACAATTTTTGTGTGCTACTGTTTTAGTCTTTAAAATGCTGAAAGTCACTTGTAGATAAGACCCATTTTAACTTTCCTATTAGTAAATTGTTATTTCATATTTTCATACATGTGCACTCTGTATTCTGGATCCACCTTCCCTCCTTTTCTCTCTGGAACCTTCCGGGCAACCCCTCCTCCCTATAATTATCTTTCCCTATTAGCTTTGGTTTTGTTTAGTGTCCCATATTGTTTAACCAGGGTCATCTGAGTTTGGACCTCCCATCAGATTCTGGTGGGCTCAGCAGTGGATACACACAGCCATGCTTCCTTCGTCCTCCCAGAATCTGTGGGTTGCCAACAGATCCGCAGCGTGTGACCAAGTCCTTCTTCAGAGCTGACTGTCAGGAGGGCATGACTTCTGTCAGCACACCCGCTGCTGGGGAATACATGGCTCTCAAGCCTACATCCTGCTCTTTCCCAGTCCCGTTCTCCATCTTGAAGCTCCCACATTCTTTCTGCCCTCTCTTCCTCAGTGTTCCCTGAGCCTTAAGGAGATCACATCCCCGTCTTGTGTGGGGCTGATATCTCAGCCATTCTTTATTTTTACCATCTGGATCAGCCGGAAGGGGAGACTTCTCTGTTCAGGCACACTTCTGGTAGTGAAAGACCCTACAGACCCCCTCCTCAAAACCCCCAGCTAGCATGCTCCCCGGGGAACGTCCTGTTTGCTTTAAAAAAATTCTCAGGATCAGCAGCCAGCCTGCTCTCCTAAGAACATCCCATGTGCTTGAGAGAGCAGGATGTCTATGAGATAGGAAGACTGCAAGGCAGGATGTCAATAAGATAGGACATCAACAAAGCAGGTTGACTGCAAAACAGGATATTTATAAGATAGGCCAGGCATCCATGCTGAGAGAGGAAACCATTCATGCCCCTGCCTCATTCCAATAGACCGATAACCACGCTTTTGCTTCTGTAAACTTGCTTTTTGCTCTCCCCTATAAAAAGCTTGCCCTCCAGTTGGCAGGCGCGCAAGTCCTCCGAAAGACTTTGCCGCCCACAGGTACCTGTGTTTACTCAATAAACCTCTTGCTAATTGCATCCTGTGGCCTGGTCTCGGAGTGTCCTGGTTCTGGGGTCTTCATCAGAGAGGAAAGTTCCTCTCTGAGGGTCTTTCAGTAGAGCGGGGCTATGAATGGCTCCAGTTTCTTAGTAGTCGCTCCTCTTACACAAAGTGTGCTTGGGTCATGATTAAATCCTTCCACTCTCCTCCCCTAGCACCTTTGCCCCGCAGCTCTCCCCACCCAGCTTTCCTTCCTAGTCATTGCTAAACACCTTGGATGCTCTCCTAAAGCCGCCGTCCTGGTCTTTCTCAGTCATCCTGTAGCTCTTCCAACCGCTCCACTTAGTTATTTCACCCTAGTTCTACATGAGCAACACATTCCCACGAACACACCACTCCTCCAGAGCAGCCCTACCTCTGGAGCTGCAGTCTCCTAGGTAGCAGAGTTGGAAAGCTGCCTCAGATTCTGCTTCTGCCACCTGCTAGCCATGTGCCTAGCATGGCTACATAACGTGGACTTCATGTATTCTCAAAGAACCCTTATTTTTTTTTCTGTAAAATGGAGGGTGTGGAGTACCTACTTACAGATTTGTCCGGATTAAATGAAAACTTGACAAAAAATACAAAAGAGATGCCCAATAAACCTCTGGGTTTTATTATTTTAATTTTTATTATTTGTTATTTTCCTGCTAGTATTTTTATTGTTATAACTTCCTTTTGATGTTTTTTGCACCATCCTTAAGATTTTGCATCTGTTTTGCCAGCACACTCATCTTCTCCTGGTTTCCCAGGCCCTCCTTTTCCTCAGCACCTGAATGTTCTCTGAACTTTACAACCGGAGTTCAGAGAAATGAATATACATAGAGGGCATTTTTATCACACACTGGTTATTGCCAATCTTGGGGGCACTTTGTGCAGTTTAGCAGCTACCCTTGGGGCCCAAGCCCCACACTAGCTGGTACACACAACTTCTCCTCTCCTTATGCACCTCTTACTATGATCATGCATTTCTCTCAAGAAGTTGTCTGTTGACACTAATAGATGAAACTGTTTTATTTACACCGTTCCTTCACTGACTTTTTAGATTTCAATAATTTACTCATCCTATTAGTACATCTAAATTTAATTCCTTTGGATTTTTAACAGTGGTGTTGGGGTGGATTTTATGCAAGGCAAATGCTCTGCCTCTAAGGCACACATCCAGCCAGATCATGCACTGTTCCTTAGAAGCATCTAGTACTTATGAGACAGTGGTACTCTAAGTAGTCTAGGGGTGGCTATTTGAAAGATGCCCCATACTAAAGGCCTTTTGCCCACCCCGTCCTACTTGCTCCTTTGGCAGCAGCTGACAGTCTTGATGACCTCATGACCCTGGCAAATCCACTTCCACCAAACCATGTTCTCCTGGCACCTACTCTTCTCTTGGTTTCTCCCATACAGTTCTTCATTCTTGGTCCCTTCATCTGGCTTTGTGCCACAGTGTAATGCTTGCATTTGGGAGTTCCCCCAGGCATCTCTTCTAAACAGTTGTTTTTTCTTTCATTTTCCACTTTATTTTCATTTATCCCCAAAATATTAACTAACCTTCTTTTGATGATTTTCCAAATCTACCCTATCACATTCTGGAGTTTATGTATGGATTTCAAATTGCCAACAGGGTAACCTCATCTGTGAGCATTATAGACTTAATATGAGAGTTGATTTAATGATTTCCTCTTTCATATCTTCACCCCTTCGCATCTGGTCTTTCATATCCATGGTGACTGGAGTGTTTCTATTGTAAAAACACACACAGTGATCTCTTCTTTGCCCTTGACACGTCTCTTTGTCTTGGGTCCCCACGTTTAGCTTTTGTTTACGCTTCAGATCTGGGTGAAATGTCACGACAACTCTGATCATGTGAGCAAAGACACTGCACCCACCCCCTCCCCCTAACTGTTCTCCTCCTTCCTGTTGTCCACCTGAGTTATCTTAACTGTGTGTTTTCGCACTGCTTGCCTGGGTCCCTCCCCAATGCACATGTCAGGAAAAAAAGAGCCTTTGTCTTACTCCATCAGTAAGACCAGACTAGCAGGGCAGACTAAAGGCACCCCTCCTTTAAGAAAGGGATGTCTTACTGTTGAACCCCACATTCAATCTGAACAGTTCTATTTAAGTGAGAGGTGTTTCCTTTCCAACGCACTCATTCTAATCCAGTCCATTCATTTCCATGAACAGATTAACTGCGAATTACACACTGAACTCTGGGAAGAGAATCTTAGTGTCAAACCAGCCCCACCCACCACCCGTACACCTTTCCACACCAGTCCAGGTAGTCACAACCACAATCCGCTGGAGCTTGATTCTAGGATTCCGGGAAGTGACTACCTGCGGGTTGATACCTGAATCCCCAGAGTTGGGAAGGTTCGGATCTGGCCCCACCCTCCATCCTTCCGTTTTGACACATTACTAGCTATTTCACACATTCACTTTGCCTTCCTTCACAGATAAGGCACTCTGGCTGCTGACTTCTGCAGAGCTGCTCCCCAGATTCAAGGCTCCAATTCCATTCACTTGTGCTAGTTTATAGCTTGGCTGCCCTGAAGAATTCTCAGTGGCTTTTTTGAAAATACAACTTGAAACTCATTGAAGTGAGGAGGCAGCGCTGAAGGGAGGGCCGCTAGAGCTGTACCCTGGGATCCTCGCAGACCCCTGCTCGCAGGCCAGGTTCTTTGTGGTTAGCAGAAGTGGTGACCCGGGAGGACGCAGGCTTCCAGGCCGGGAACCCGAGGGAGGGTGGGAGAGGAGGAGTTACTGGGAACTAAGGATGAGGGAGCAATATTAGCAGGGGTTTCGTCAGACAAGGTGGAGGGGGGAGGCCTGAATGCGAGGAAGGCAGCGATCTCTGCCCGGAGGAGGAACAAAGCCGAGGCCGGTTCTCACCCTAACGCATTTCAGCTAAAAGAGGTTGCCACGAAGGGAGGGGAAGGGAGCGAGCTAGGGAGCCCGGGGTCCGGAGTTTGCATTTACCACGACGCCTCGCCCGGAGTCTGGCGCCTTCTCACTGCTCCCGGCCATGTCTCTCGTGGGGACCGCGGGAAGGACAGACGCCGGGAGGATGTGGAGACCGGGCTGCACTGGGAGTGGGGGGTGGGGGATGGGACGCGGGGGATGTGGCTGGGGCCGCCCCGCCCCCGAGCCTGCGGGCGGGAAAGCCGCGACCTCAGCCGAGCCCCATTCCCGAGGCGGCGCGGGAGCAGCTGTGGAGCAGCGCCTGGTGCACCTGAGCGCGCTCCTCGGAGGTCCCTGGCGACCCGTGGCTCCGCACCCCGCGGGGATATGGGGCGGGCCTGAGATCAGTTCTGGTGCGAAAACAGCCTCTTGTCATTAGCCTTCCCAAAGTCCGTCGCTGCTGCCCCCAGGCCAGCAATCTCCAAGACTCCGCCCTGCCAGGTTTTAAATGCACATTTGTCCCAAGTCAAAGCTTAAAAGAGCGGCAGTACTGAGCGTTCGGCGGCTTTGGGAATGGGCTGGAGTATCCCGGAGGGTTTCAGTTCCTGGCGCCCTGCCAGGAGTTGGAAATGGCCACAGGCCGGCATTTCCTCTGACCAAACCCTAGTGATCTGATCGGCCTAGGGCAGGGGCTTTTTTTTTTTTTTTTCTGTATCTAATTTACTACTTGACTCTAATTGTTTCAGGTTGTAGCTGAAGGCGATTGCTCTACTCGGTTAGAAAACCTTGTTTTATGAATCTGTTGTCAAATCCCAGCTTTCTCCTAGCCCAGCCCCTAGTTCTTTGTTCTTTCCTCCAAGGCCTTGCTCTCCCACCTCTTGCCAGAGCCTGCCTATGGCCATTTTGGGTTTAAAGGCCTCACATGGATAGTCTCTTGATTTAGTCTTCTCCAAAAGATTTTTATTGGGCTAGGGCGTAGCTCAGTGATATAACAGTGTTTGCTTAGGATGTGCAAGGTCGCCGGGGTTCTAAGTCCAGCAACAACAATAAGCAAGCGCGCGCGCGCGCACACACACACACACACACACACACACACACACGGCGCTTCTTCACCTTTTGGCTAGAATCAAGTGCAAAAGAAGTGTTCAATACTCATTTTCTGGCACACACTGGCAAGATGAATGCTGGTTGTTTCTGGTTTGAAGGGAAAATAGTTATGCATCAGTTCAAGTTGCTTAGATTGGAATAACTGAGTAATAATATTGTATTTATGTGAGGTGGACAATCGATTTGGCTGTTAATGTCCAAGGTCCAGAACTAAGGAAGAAGAGGGGTGCAAGGCGCAGGCTCCCGATGTTGTACTTGCCAAGTGGCTGTACCGGTAGGTGGTGCTCCCCAGTGCAGAGGCCAACCGTTTCAGTCAGCCATTTCTCTAGCTGCCCCTCACCCGTTTTTCACTTTCATTCGTCATAAGAACTGTTATTGAAATTTCCAAAAACTGGGCTGGAGAAATGGCTCTGTGGCAATTGCTTCTCTTATAGAGTGCTCAATTTTCAGTACCCAAATGGTGCCTGTAACCACCCATGACCCCAGTTCCAGGGGATCTGATGCTCTCTTCTCACTTCTGTGGGCACGAGACACACACATGTTGCATATATGCGACCAAAGCACTCATACATAAAATGTCTTGAAAAAAAAAATGTCCAGGAACTGAAAAGTGGTGTTGTCATGCCAACAATGTAACTGTAGAGGCCAGAGAGCAAGTTCACTGAGCACACTCTTTCCACTGGGTATTGGTTGACGTTGAGTGGGACCGTGGGTAGTTCACAAACCATGCTTGACATAATATCACTTGAGTGTCCATCTGCTTCACTGTCAAACTCAGCCTCAAGAATCTCATTGTGAAGCCATAGGACAAACAGGGTTCCAGGGGGCTGCAAGGTACTTGTCTAGTGGAAAAGCATGTGTTAAAGACGCTCACTGGCTGAAAAATGACAGCTAGAACCTTTTCAAAAGACAGTCTGTTTAGACATAAATGGCAATGAATTCACAATAAAAAATATACAGCTTGCTTGAAGGACAACAAGAATCTTAAGAATTCATGTTCCAGAACATCCCATATATACCACTGTAGAACATTCTGTAAAGAATGATGAATAAACTCTGTGAAACATCAGACTTAGTTTACTTCCTATCATGTTTTGTGTTGTCAGACTATAACTGGTACTCTGGACCACATGAATTAATATAATATTAAATTATATTTGCAAGGATAGAAAAGGAACAGTGTACATATCCAGGCCTTACTATTAATCTTACATTAGGAATATTTAGAGACAGATTTTTAATTTCTGTAATAAAGGTAGTGAAATAGTTTTGGATAGGAATTTCAATTCTAGTATGACCCGTGTGTCTTTAACACACAAGTCTAAACTAGTAAGACCAATGTGTTGTGTTTCAATTCTCTCTTCTGTAAAAGGTAGGACATATAAAACATTTCTCTACTGCATATAGTAAGGTGGTTAGCATGCGATAACATGCATGAAAATCCTTTGAAAATATTAAAAACTGTAACATCATCAATCTGAGATGCTGTGAAAAGAATTCATGAGCAAAGAAAAGTTTATGACTGCCAAAAGAAGAAGAAGTACACTCTCCAGGGGATGAGCCCCTTAGTTGGTATTCTAATACAAAGTGGTCAGCTCTGAAACCATCTACGAAACAACAAAAATGGACTCAGCAAGCTGTGTGTGTATATTTGTGCATACATATACATACATGGATATGTATATAATGATAATAATCAAAATAAAAGAGGCTATCAATTTGGGGGAGGGGTTGCCAGAAGGGGGTTGGTGGGATAGAACCTGAGAGGGACTGGAAGGAGAAGTGGGAGGGTGTAAGTGATATAACTCTGCTTAAATTAAACATGTATAAAAATAATAAAAAGATAAAAGGGAAGAATTATGAAATTATCTCATGTAAAGAGAAAGGAAGTCGGTGTGTGTGTGTGTGTGTGTGTGTGTGTGTGTGTATGTATGTATGTATACCTGGAGATGAGGGCAGGACACAGAGTACCCTATTCTGTTACTATGCAACCTCATTCCCTTGAGACAGGCTCTCTCACTGCGCCAGGAGCTGGCCTCATAGCCAGCAAACCCCAGCAACCTTCTTGTCTCCACCACACACAATGATGAGTTATAAGTGTGCACAGTTATACACACTGTTTTTATATTTTTTATTTTATTTTAAATATTGGGGGGATCTGAACTCAGGTCTTCATGTTCTTACCCACTGGGCCATCTCTCCAGTTCTTAGGAATTACTCTTTAAAACTGACCTAAGGGACTGGGAAGATGGCTCAGTAGTTAAGAGCATTTGCTTCTTTTGTAGGGGACTTGGACTTGGTTCCCGGTACCCACATGGCAGCTTGCAACCATCCAGTGGCATTGCCAAGGCACTCAATGCGCTCTTCTGATCTCCATAGGCACCGGGCATGCACACAGGATACTAAATATGGGAAGTCAAAACATTCCATACACATAAAATGTAAATAAGCATTTTTTTTAAAGAATTGACATAGGATTTAGAAATACCTATAGTCTACAGACAACCTGGGACGGATATGATACAAAAAAACCTCACCGAGATCCACCTGTCTCTGCCTCCCAAGCGCTAGGATGAAAGGTGTGCGCCACCACCGCCCGGTCAAAAGTGAGAATATAATGAAAGGAATGGACTTTTTTCACTAAAAAGTGGTATGCTAGTTCTGAGTGCCCACTCATAATGCTTTGGAGGAGCTACAAGAACAAAGATGTACATCTTCGCCACGTTAATAGCTAGTTATTGCCCTGCATTTTCCAAACATCCACTTTTCCATATTTTCACTGAATGTCTCTCTTAACTTCTCACCACTACCATGGTGGAAACACAAATATTTATCATTAACTGAATCTCCTCCAAGCTGGAAGCACTTACTAATCTTGTGGCATTTTGGTGACACTTGGACTTTTGTTAGTGAAGGAACAGTTCTATCTGCCCACCTTGTGCCCAGTCATTCAGTGACACTAGATGGGAGATTCAGGATGCCGGAGTCTTTCCAAGTCCTGAAACCAGAAAATAAATAAATAAAATCCTGTAAGCCTGGGGATTGTGTTGAAATACATAAACATCTGAAACTTGGTGACTCAGACGGTTAGTCAGAATTACTGGCGAGAATCTGGAGAGAAGCCGCTGTGGAGGAAGGCCAGTGATGATGATGATGGCAGTTTGCCTTTCCATCATGCTGAACAAAACACTTTACAAAATAACAAAAACAACAAACACACACACATACACAAAACAAAACAACAACAAAAAAACTTTTACTCCAGTTTAAGTAAAAAGCCTGTGACCGCTGAGGTAATTTCCCTTCTCTGCAGCAAAGAGAATCGTAGCTGTGAAGGATTGTAGCAAAAATCAACTTAAACGAGAGCCTCTTTCCTACTCAACAGGAACCCATCTTCCTGGCCTCTCATTGCCGACTGACCCCAATGTGTAGTCCTTGAGAAAGGAAATGGCAGCTCCCACAGCCGAAGCCAGAAGCTGCTCGGGTTAGGTTTTATGTATGGCACCTTCTTTGGTAATTAACCTTTCGGTAAAGATCACGCTGAGGGGAGATGGAGCCCATTCTGTCACGGTAGTGTCATACGTGGGCAGTGGCATCAGCAGTAAGTGGCTGGGCCATTTCAGAACACCCTCCAACATCTGACCGGAAGAGGAATTGGATAGCTTCAGAGAAAAATAATAATGTGTTCACGTGTTACTGCAGATTCCAAGTCCTGGCAGCCGACCTCAACTCTCTTGGCCATCATAAAGCGCCGCTGAAAGGACACAGCTGCAGGAACTCTCGGCTAAGCACTAAATAACCCTCAGGGTGGGAGGCAAAAGTTCTCTACCTGACCCTAGCACCGTGTGCTTTGGAATGAATGGATTAGCAGCTGATGATGCTGTGGCATCTGATGCAAAATTAACTGGTACCTCAGCCAGCGCTAAGTCTCTAATGGAAACAAAACAAACCCGCATAGAAACCAAATGAACTTCCTAAAGTCTACAGCTTTGGCTAGTTCGCGAAGAAGACTGAATGTCTACAGGGCTGGTGACAAGCTGTTTATTCTGCTTAGCTGTGTAGATACCT